TATTAATAATTGTCTAATCGATAGTTGTAATTGAGGACGGTGTTGTAGTAATTTTATAACAATAATAGGCTTATAAACCGTAAGTAAGAGCGCCATCGTCTACTTTTTGATGAATTCGTGCGGAAGAAGTGCTACGACAAACCGGAAGCAATGACAAAATATGGCTGAATAGATATACAGATTGTAACAATGTTACTAGCAATGTAAAAAGAGCGTTACATAAGTTAGAAAGCCTGGTCAGTTTTTCGTCAAGTGGAACAAATTATAAAATATATGGTAAATTTCCATTTGTACATAGAAGTTTGTCATTCTTGTCCGTCCTTAGAAAAGCCGAACAAATATAGTCTTCCTACTGAGGGAAGCCTTTTGACTGTTAGTCATCGCAAACCTTTCTGACAATAAAATCTTCTCGCCTGGCGTTTTTCTCGTTGACTTTTATAAGAAGACAAATTTTAATAACAAAAAAGTCTTTTTCTTCTTTTCCGTCTTCCTCTAACTCTCGTTCTCTTATTTTTGCTCTTTCTCTATTTCTCTCTGTCTCTGTCTCTGTAACAGTCAGTCAGTTCTGTCTTTCTCACTCTATCTCGTTGTCTCTCTCTCTCTCTCTCTCTCTCATTCACTCTGGTAGCCCTGTCGTTGCCTTTCGATTTCTCTTTCAAAATCAGTTTAACTTTATTTCTATCCCCTTTCTTGGCAAAGTCTACCTTATTCTATTGGTTTATTCTGGATGGTTTTCCTTACACATAGCGTCGGATTCTAATAGAATTTCGTGTCAATTTTTATATTCATTTAGAGGTTAAAAGCTCGATTGTATTCTTAACGATTTTTAAAGATACGAAGAGCAGTAAAAATATCATGCAATTCAACAATAAAACGAAAAAAATACGCTTACTATATGCCATTATTACAAGCCGCCTTTCATGCATGTTCTTTACGTTTATATCTCTCCTTAATAGGCTTATTAATATTAATGAGAACAAAGTGGAAGAGAGAAAAACTAATGATATTCAATGATTTTTTATTTATTTTGTGAAAGTTGACAAAAGATTTCAATTTTTCCAAATTAAAGAAAGACAGATGGAGAAGAGAGAGAAAAAGGAATGCGAGATGAGAGGGCGAGGGGAGGAAACGGGAGAGAAGGAGAGAGAGAGAGAGAGAGAGAGAGTGAAAGAATGGGGAAAGAGAAAGAAAAAAAAGACAGAAATTAAAGAAAAAAAGCAAAGAGTGTTGGGTTTGTTTTGTTGTGCTTTCGAGGTAGATTAATTAACAGTATTATTCAACTTGTAAAAAAGAATTACATATATTCATTTTAATATCTGCTAATAAAGACTTTTCTGCTTCTAAGGAGAAGGAGTGACAGATTTAATCAATATTATAGTATCAATTTAACAGAGTCATTCTTTTTTCATGAAGCTAAACTGCAGTATTTCGTTTCAAAAAAATTAAACATTCACTACACGTTTATTAAGAGAAAGTTGGAATTTTTTAGAATTTTATTCTCTTTTATTGGCTTTTTTTCAGGAAGAGATCGAAGAGGGGATGAGGAGAAAGAGGAGGAGAGAGAAGAGGAGGAGGAAGAAGAAGAGGAGGAAGTAGAAGAAGGGGAAGCGGAGCTAGAAGAAGAAGAAGAAGAAGAAGAAGAAGAAGAGAATTTTATATAAAAGATCTAAAAAGAAACAAAAGGTAAAAATTCTAGTATTGAAATAAACTACGTAAGAAATACAATAGGTTGTTTAATGAAATATAAAAAAAACATTCTTCTAGAACGTATTTTTCACACCATTGTTTCAAATCTGAATGGAATAAACAATACATAAATTATTACTTTCTCTACTTATTTTTAAACATCTAAAACACACTTTTAAGCTCTCAAACATTCAAACCTACACAAATGCACCTAAACACAAGTACTGACAAATATCCATTCATCAACCACCCAACCATCCGTCCAACCATCTCTCTCTCTTCGTCCATCTATCTACCTATCTATCTATCCATCTATCTATCTACTCATCTCTCCCTTCATACATATATAGAAATACACGTACACATACACATAGTAGCATACTATTTAACAACTACTCTACTACAAGTAACGATGTACATGTGTATGTTTACATTGAAAGAAGATACTTTTATAATCTTTCAATGAAAAAAAAATATTTTTTTTATCCTTTTTTTTTTAAAAAAAAAATGAATATTCATTAAAAATCAACAATTACAAACTAACTAAGTGAGGAAAGAAAGATTTGTATTCTTGTGCAGGTATTGTTTTATATTTGAAGCTATAAAGCTAAGACGGTATAAATATAGTATATACAGTATATATATATATATATATATATATATATATATATATATATTTACAACATATATATTTATATTGTTTAATAGATTTTATATCTCGAGAGAAAAGTTTTTTCATGTTTTGTTTTGTTTTACATCATTTGCATAATTGTACAAAGATCGTATTACAATTTCCATTTAAAAATCTCAGCCTTTAACTCTTTATTTTCAGTATCCATTTTTAAAAAAAATGCTTCTAAAGTCGCTATTTGATTCTTTTTAGTAAAAGTTTGTATAACAGTTTTTGTTCCTTTTTGAAAATACTCAATTATCAACCTTCTAGGCCAATATGATGGCATTAATCTTTGTCTATTTTGTGCTTAGTATTAAGTTCTTAACTTAATTAAGCCGCATGATAATTTAAGAGATAATATTGTGTAAAGACTACTGTATCTTACCAAGAAAGCCAAAATATCTCATTCACTAATTGATAATCTCTAAAGCGATTGGATTTTTAGGCCTGAGTCTCATTTATAAAAGCTAATGTAATTATCAGAATTTATTGCTTTTAGTTACAAATTAATAGTTTCTTTTCACGGGTAATCATTAGCATATGCGAATGCATCTTACCGATTCACTTAAGATCGATATCTATTCATTATGGCAAAATAGTAGAAAGCGAAAAATGAGTAGGGACAACGGTAGGAGAAAGAAAGGAAGAAGGTGACGACGACGACGACGACGACGACGATGGCGATGATGATGATTGTAATGAGGACGACGATAGAAATGAAAGAGACTGCGAGTGACAAAACAGAGAAAAGAAAGAGCAAGAGAAGAAAAATAAAAGAAAATAACCAAAATGATCTACAGTTAATTTGTTTCATGTAAAAAGAAAACCAAAATGTGGCTTTTTCTTAATTTTAGCTAGTTAATTATCAGGTGGATGGAGTTAATAAGGATTTTCCTACTCTTGAACTAAATGGTGGCCACCGGAACAAAATTATACCAGATTTCAATCTCGTTTATCAAATTAATCGAATGCATCAGTTTACCAGTTTTTACAGAGATATTAAAAAATTAAAGGACAACAATTGAGGAATATACAGTATGTAGGATACAGAGGCAATGGTAATTTTCAATTTTAGTAGTAGAACTTTTCACTGCTTTCCCTCTATAAATTAATTAATGTTTGAAGGCAGGTCCAATTATTATTTACTTTATTATCTTCACTTTTATTGGCGTTTTATTATGTAAAATCCTTATGAAATGTGTCAAGAATGACAAAGGAATTGCATAATAAAGACCAGTTCTTCACTCTTATTAAGAAATATAAGATTTTGTTTAGCCTCTAAAGCACAGAAAGTGGAGATGAAAATTACTCTAATTTGCTGATTATGCTCCCCTCAGAACAATTAGATTATAAACTCATGTTGTTTACTATCAAGTTAAGAATTGCATGTAATTTAATAGTGTTATATTATGCTCAAAAAAGTTAAACCTTTGAAATTATTAACATTTACTTCAATTGTACATCACATAACATATAAAAAAAAACTAAGGGTATTTATAGATATATATATAGATAAGTATATATAGATATGAATAGACTTGGCTTTTATATATAAATGTGCAAGTTTACGTGGCAAAAAAAATTGTTTACAGTATTACAAACAAATTATTTTAGTTATCATCAAGGAGAGAGGAAGAGATAGAGAGAGAGAGAGAGAGAGAAAGAGAGAGAGGGAGTGCAGGGAAGGGAAAGGGCAATTTATTGCTACGAGAGAGAAATAAAAGAAAACAAACTGTTTATGTTTATATTTATGTAAACTACATAAAAAATATATATAGTAGCAAAATATTTGTGTTTATTACGTAACAAAACATGCAAATAAAGAAAATAAACAAATTAATTATAATCATTTAAAGATTTCTACTATGGAATCGATTAAATGTTTTATCGATTGATTTCCATTCTTTTACGTATTTTCCCTTGTTTCACTTAACACAATGCTTTAAACATATTTTTCAAGCTTTTTATCAGTATATACAAAAAAAATCTGTCTATCTGTCGTTTTCAATCTCTTTCGCATTCTAGCATTCCTTTTATCTTGCGCTATCCTCTCTCTTGAATGCTAATTTCTATAACATGACCTACATTTAGCCAAAGCCGAGATAAAAACGATGGTAATTTCTCTTCCACGACCTACATCCAAACTCTGTCGGATTGGAAATAATAAAGGAAAAGATAAAAAAAAATGATACAGAAGAAGAAGTCGTTTTGGATAAAGAGAAATAAAAAAAGAGGGAAAAGAAAGAAAAAAAAAAGAGCGAGATGAAAAAGAATAAGAGAAGGAGAGAAGAAAAGAGAAAGAGGGAGAGAGAGGTAACGGCGAAAGGTTGAATAAGTGTAGGCTGTAAGAGGATAGACAAAACTTCAATTCATTTTCAAAGTGCCTCTCTTAACCTCGGTTTATTGAGCCTAATCGTCATATCAATATCTTTGTATTTACGTTCAATTCCGATTTTTACCTTTGGGAGAGGAATTTGGCAATCCTTCCACAATTTGATCTGTAAGATATATTTATAAAATTTTTAATGAAATGAGAATATCAAAATAATACAATGCACGCACTGTCAACTATACTCGAGAAAAAGGAACTAAGTACGCGCGGTTCATTTGCATATTACAATCAAGCGCCAACCAGAACGGCGGCAGTCTGCAATTCAGCGCCGACGGGCTATGATCATTGCAGTATGGAGGCGAAAAACGACAGCGGGAATACAACTACACCGGAAGAAAGTTGGAGTATTTATACGGCCGTACCATTGGGTATCTTCCTCTCCCTTTTATCTCTCGTTACTACATTCGGCAATGTGCTAGTACTCTACGCCGTCAGGACGGAAAAACGCTTGCAAACGGTCAGTCAGGGCTATGAAGATAGGCCTAGGCAGTTTGCCCTTTTTTTTCAATTTCCTTTTACAAACTAGCCTGTAGGATTACTGTATATGAGTTGACGATGCATTTTTCTGTAATTTACGATTAATTACCGTCGAAAAAGGTTCGAGTGCAAACGACAGGCGAGCCTTATCGATACATTGATAGATCGATATCCTATATACATTGTGCAGTTGGTTTGCAAATAAAGATGGGGAAGAAAAAGCGGTATATCGATAGGGATATATAGGTGGAAATTGTCTGACTAATACAGGCTTATAGATTTCGACGGCGAAAATGTACTGTGAAGAGAGAGGCATTCAATACACTCGCAGTTTTGCACTCGACTGCAAAATGCGGTTCTTCTTTCCACTTTACCTGCAAAATTGTACCGACGCCTTTGATTTTTTTTTTAGTTAGAGCGTTTTGCCACCCTTCCTCTATGGCAAAATACGCATAGTTCTCTGTCTCTAAATTTTTATCATTTATAATTAGTTTTGTCTTGATTTACTCATCATATACTAAACTATTGACGTTTCTATACGTCTTTTTTTCTACTATAAATAAACCTCTCTCTCTTTCTCTCTTTCTCTCTCTCTCTCTCTCTCTCTCTCTCTCTATAGATGTATATATATATATATATATATATATATATATACATATATATGTATATATATTTATATATATATACTATTTATATAAGTATATATATACATATATTTTTGTATCGTATCTGTAATATTACATGAGAAGAAACTATACAAAGTCATATATCTAAATATCCTTACTCATGAAAAGCCACCTAGTAAAAAAATAAAGGATAAATATATACATATTATCATGTCTTTACGTTGTTACATTTATAAATACATATATATATATATATATATATACAGTATATACAGTTTATACAGTATATATATATACGTAAACATCTACATGGGTCTGCAATGTAGTTGTTGGAGAGAGAGAAGAGCTTCCACGGATACGTATGCATGTATACACGATACATACTTTTTTATTGTATATACCATTGCACCAAATATATTTTTATAGTTTGTTCTATTCTATCTTAATAATTCGCGTGTATCCTTTCTACAACTACACACTATACACTATATATAGAGTATATATAGATGGCATCTTTATTTTTGCATTTATTCTTACATCAGCATATATGAAGTGCTTATAGAATACGTTACACGCTATACTCGAAAGTTAGAATATAATGCTATCAAATGCAACTAATTTAAAATGAATGAAAGAATAGAGAATACAAACAAACAAACAAACAAAGTTCTTACTACCATTTATAAATGTGAAAGAATCTCGCAGTCTTTTTTCGTTTGTATGAATCAGAGTTGCGCCAATAAAAATTCGCTTTCGCTTTGTTTCTTGTGCTTATTTTAATTAAACAATATGTAATAGTTGCATGTCACGTGGTAATTAATTTAACTTCTTTTATAGGCGTCTTTGCTCTTATGGAAATGTTTATTTATTGTATTTGTTGAAATTTATCTCTTATCATTTTTTACAATATTAACAAAAGGAAAAAAATAACAAAAAAATCTAATGAAAGAAAAGAGAAAAGATAAAAAAAAGTGTTTTTTTTCCTAAGATAAATTGATTGATTAGTTGGAGTATTTTAACTCTTCTTGTTCACCATACGAATAGTAGGATTTAATTGATATGGCGAACATTTTTCCCCCAGCCACTCAATTCGAACTAGGTCCATTTTAGAATTTCTCTCTCACTCTCTCTCTCTCTCTTATTTTCTTACTTAACATAAATTGTATAGTTGGTTGTTTTTCCTATATTTGTGCTAATTTAGTTTTCTGTTTTTTCCCACTTTATTGACTAATGGTTGTTGGATTTCATTTTATTTATTTGCTTCAGTAAGTGTTTGTATGTGTGCATATGTATGCATCTTTGTCTATCTTCTATCCCTGTCAGCGTTTTCTATGTAGAGATGTTGGTGAAATAAAAAAGGAAAGGAGGAGAGAGAGAGAGGAAGATATATTTGTATATGTGATGCATAAGCAAATGGTTATCTTATGATAAGTTTTTTTGAATAGAGATAAAAATAGATAAAAAAAAGTTATTGTTAAAATTAAATTAATAAAAGAGAGAGTGTATTATGTTTGTTAATATTTAATATTCTCGCTTTTTATATGGTATACGTAATATATAATCAAAATAGAGAGTATAGATATCTTTCATACAAATTAATGAATAAGTGAGTTTAAAAAAAAATCATTTTTCACCTTTACACACTGCTCACTCTATATTACGGATATCACAGTACGTACATCCCATCGATACAATATTAAAAACTCAATTATTAAATGTATCAGAGTTGATATAATCTTGATACTCTACATTAACATCGTATAAAATACCCACAATGTAGATCTCGTATATTTGTGTCTTTTTCTTTTTTTTTTGCCTCTTACTTGTACACAACAATACTATATTCATATGATTTATAAGGAAAATACATAAACGATTATGATTCTTCTTCCTTTCAATACTTTCTTTAAAGCTACTGCAGACGCCTTTCAACTGTCTAAAATGAGGCATCGCCGATCGTTCTATTGTAGAATAAGTAAAATATAGTAGTAAATATATAATAATGCTCACATCAAAGCTTCTTAGTCGTTTTACGTTAGCTACCGTCTTTCCTTAACTTAAGAAGGAAAGAGAATCTTGTACATAATCGATTTTATAATAATCGTCTATAGTCTTTTAGTAACCTTTTTCTTACTATATATTAATAATTAACCGATATATAGGAAATATTTTTAGCTAGAATTTCGCGTCTCCGCTTTTGTTGCATAATATGTAATTTTCTCAACTAATGAAAAGTTGGGCTAGGTTGCCTTTACCTTATATTTAAATACTTTTTTATTTCTATTTTTTCTTTCCATTTCCCCCTCTCTCACTCTCACTCTCTTTCTCTCTTTCTTTCTTTCTTTCTTGCTCTCCTTCCAATTTTGCAGATGGATTTTCTTCCTATAGATTTACTAAGTGAAAATGAGCATCTTTATCGTCTTAGAACGTTTTTCTTAAAATAATTTCTTTTTGTCTACTCGATCATTTTTTCTTATAGTTTTTTTCTCTTTCTTCCTCCCTTCGCCCCCTCTCCCAAACACACACACACACACTCCTCCCCTCTCTTTCTCGTGCTCTTCCTCTCTCTCTCTTTTCTTCGCATATAGCTTATGACAGAAGAGACCTCAAGTAGATAGATAGATAGAAATCCCTCAAATAATCATAAGCATAGCAAAGCTAATTAACCACTTTATAAAATATCAACAAATTTTAACATCTTTTGTAAATATAGCGGTAATTACGAACTCGTCAGATGTCTTGGTGACATCTTTTCAGACATATTCTTATGAATATACATACAGTATTTATATATATATACTGTCTATACTGTATACTGTATACGCATATTGTGTATTGGACATATTTATTTATAGCTATATTTATTCAGAATATCTATAGTATAGGTATATATTTAAATATACAGTATACTGTATAGATATTAAGGTTTATACTATGTACAGCGTATATTTGTATTTGTATATAAAGTGTATGTAAAGTATAGTTTGAGTATATTTATTTCTTTTGCTGCTCAGATGCTTCTTTTTCTTGTATTTTACATTATATATTATATGTTTGGGTAAAGAACGGAGTTAATACACAATATTATACGTTTATGCATTATATATGGGAAGCTAAAAGTCAGCTCTGGGTATAGCTTATTAAATCTTTTATTTCTCTTTACCCTTTGGATTAAAATAATCTCATTCTAAAACTATAAACCATTCTGTTTTATTATTGCTCATTATTCTTGTAATCGTCTTTACCTCTCAAACATCATTATGCTCTTGGTCACGGGAAACAATAGTCATTATATGTTACCTGGCTCTCCTTCTTTTCCCTTTTCTCTTTTATTTCGTTCTCTCTCTCTTTGTTTATGCATAATCTGTGATCTGTGGGGCAGAGAAGGAAAAGTATAAGTTCGCTTAGAAACAGTTGATAGATGACTTTTCCATCATTTTCATATGGTAACATTGTTAAAATGAAAGGAAAAAAGCTAAAGGAAGGTGGTAGAATCAACAAATGGTATAAGAAAAAAATACTCCCTATAACTCACATATAGGTCTAAACTCGGTCAATTTGATAGTATTGATCTTTATGGGATTTCAAGACAGATTTGTAATCAAAATGATTTATGTAAGATTTTCATAATTGATTTTTACATATTGACATATTGCGAAAAAGGTGTGAACAAATACAAGAACAAGCATGACAACTGCTACTTTCTAATCAAAAGTCTTTCAACTTTAATTAAATATTTATTTATTTATTTATTTATCTTGTTTACTGTAAAAGTCAAGTGCAAAAATTAGCTGGCAATTTTCTAGGATTATCTTAATAATGTTTTTATTCTAATATCCTTTCTTAATTAGGGATTAAGTAATAAATATTTGCAAATAATTCTTGTTTTTTTTTTTATCTTTTACCTATTTTTCTCTTTCTTTCTTTCTTTCTTTCTTTCTTTCTTTCTGTCTGGCTGTCTGTCTGTCTATCTGTCTGCCTGTCGGTCTGTCTGACTCTCTCTGTTTCTCTCTCTCTCTCTCTCTCTCTCTCTCTCTTTTCTTTTTTTCACTCTTTCTTTCTCTTCTTTCTTCTTATTCCCTCCTTTCCTTCTTTTTCTCTGTTTGTAATCGTTTCACCAACTTTCCCAGATTGAAATATGTCAACTAATGAGGCTGAAGCGTGTTAGTTTGTTGTTGACATTGTTTTTATTCGTATAATTATTATTTTATATTAAGGGACATCTATACGGAATGATAGAATACAATATATACGCTAATGTATAGTTTATGTGATGTTATGCGCTCTTGAAAACATTACCGGAATATTCTCAGCTAATACCTTTTTATTAGAACGAAAAAGATAATTAGTTTTACGTTTTTCGTTACTTTTTCTTTTCTGCTGTTACTTTCTTTCTTACATTAAACCTTAATTAAGGTTTTTATTGTTAAGAGAATTAGTGTTTTAATAAACACCTTGCAAGTAAAAGATTTGATCTTATAACGAATCTTACACCATAAAAGTAAAGAGAGGAGAGGAGAAGAGACGAGAGGAGAGGAAAAGAGAGGAAAGGAGAGGAGAAAGGAGACGTGAGGAGGAGAAGAAAAGCGAGAAAGAGGAAGAAGAAGAAGAAGAAGAAGAAGAAGAAAAATGAAAAGGAAACTTTATGTAGATTAGTTGAGAAGGTACTATATAATTTGTATGTGCATATGATGTAAATGAAAAGTGAGCATATAGTTGTTTTAAAATCTCTTAGCCTCTTAATAATCGTTAAGGAATTTAACGTAAAAGGATTCGCTAATTTAGGGAACGTTAAAGTCTATATAGACTAATATAAATATAGAATGAATATGAAGTATGAATATGACATAATCAGCTCTGTAAGGCTAAAATGAAAGTTAAATAAGGTGTTGATGCCTATCAGAAGAATGGGCTGTTTTTCCTTTATCTCTTCGTTTACACCTAATTCTATTGAGGAGAGAGAGGAAGCTAATGCTATAGAAAAGCACATATAAACAGGCAATAAGCGTAGAATTTTTTTTCCTACCGCAAATAGCGACAGTCTTAGCCTGAAACTATTTTTAAATGTCGATCGAAGAACGAATTGGATTTAAAATACGACTTAACCAAGCCATTTTCGATAAATCTCAGCTGCTTTAATCTACCTTATTTTATTACTTATTATCAAGTGAAATAATTTTAAAATGATTACTATAAATTATTAAATAAATCTATAGTTGACTAGTTAAGGAAATCAATGAGCAAGTGTATCATTATTGTTGTTAACCTTACTTAGCAATACGTCACCGAGTCACTTAATTGAACAAACATCCGCATACAGACCTGAAATGTAATTTACGTCTTAATTCCCTAACAATCCACGTGTTTTATATTGACCTCGATCCCACTCTTTTTCTCTTTTTCCTTTTTTTTTATCCTAACAACCGAATGAAAGTGCCTCCTACTCCACCTCCTCTTCCTCCCACTCCTCGTCATAATTATGGTGATGATGAAAAAAAAATATTACCATCTTCCTCTACAACCCTATGTCTATCTCTCTACGCCTGCCTCTGGGTCTGCGTGTGGGCCTCTCTACGTCGCTCGCCTCCTCCTTCGCTATCTCCCTCGCTCCCTTTCTTCCTTTCCTAACCTGAAACAATCTACTTGTGGTAGTAAAACTAAACGATTAGGCCTAAGAAAGACAGAGTATAGAGTTTATTTCATGGCATCTTTTTTCCTGTGTTTTTTTTCACATCTGTAATTTCGATTGCCTTCATTTGTGTTTTTTTTACTTAACATAAAATCTTGAATTTATTATACTCTTTTATTACATTTTTACATCCAATAAACACGTTTTCTCTCGGGTGCGTACATCATGACTTCTAGTGATTGTTGGATATAAAAGGATATTGCCCTTAGTCGTCAATTAAAGCACCTTGTGAACTTTTTTAATCATCATTGTACCGTGCAATGTCTAATACGATGTCCTAGCCAGTTCTGGCAATTTGACTGATGCATCGTCTTAAAAAGGTCGTTGATATTTTCAGTCTAATTAGTTAGAAAGTTGATGCTTACAAAATCTTGTTATCTATCCAGTTTTACCTGGAAGGAAGAGAAAAATTTTTTTATAGACGTAAACAAAAACGTATAGGAGGAAATAGAAGAAGAAGGAGAAGGAGAAGAAGAGGAAGATGAATATATATACAGTATATATATTCAATAGGCTTACAGTACGCAGGGATTTTTTTTGTCTGTTTTTTTTTTAATGCATTGTCTAATTATCATTACGAGCTAATTAATATATGATGAAAAATAGGAAGTATCTTAATATTCGATAGTAGAGTACTTAATAAACTATCTATAACCTATAAAACTGCATACATACGTGTTTCTTTTTATCAGTGTGCTGTTGCATGTTATTCGTATGTGAAGTGTGAGTTTGAGTGTACATATACCTTATATATATATATATTTATACATAGGTATGTACGTATGTATGAATGAACGTATGTATATATCTAATCATCCTGCCCACCTCTCTACACGTCCATCTATATATACATAGACACAAACAGCATATTTATGCACTATATATACATTCGACCTTTTTAATATAATTACTCTCATTTAATCAAAAATAAGAGAGAGGGGAATAACTTTCTTTCTCCTTTGGTATCTCTACTATAGAATTTATTTAGGTTATTTTTTATTATTATCAATTTTTTCTTCTTTCTTTCATTCATTCCTTGTTTTCTTTTTGTTAAGAAAATTTTTAATTTTTAACTTTTTTTTTATAAAAAAAAAAAAAAAAAAAAAAAGTTTTTTAATAGAAAGTCTATAAAGAAGAAAATAAGAAAAAAGTTAATTCTAATCTAATAGATAATTGATTAAACCTTTAAGCAAACAAAAACAGGAACTGAATAGTAAAGTCTTCCTGTTTACTCTATTAATTTTTTTTTCTTTTTTCATATCCCTAACAGGTTAGCAACATGTTCATAGTTAGCTTAGCAGTAGCCGACCTAATAGTAGGCCTAATAGCCATGCCAATTTCGGCCGTCTATATTTTAGCATCGAAATGGATTTTTGGTCTAATCGTTTGCGAAATTTGGTTGACTACCGATTACATTGCGTCTACAGCGTCTATTCTCAATTTATTCATTCTATCTCTAGACCGTTACTGGAGTGTCACTTCACCTTTGCAATATATAAGAAAACGAACGAAAAAACGTGCACTTATTTTAATTAGCTGCGTATGGACTGCGTCAGCCTTGTGGATCGTTCCAATAATTGGATGGCACCATTTTGAGCATGGAGGAGTTAGGACTGTTGCTGCAGATGCTTGCGATACGGAATACGCAAAAAATACGACTTTAAAAATTATTACAGGAATTCTTAACTTTTATCTTCCTTTATCAGTGATGTATTCGTTATATGGTAGAATATTTTCCGAAATACGTAAAAGGTCTGCCCTTGAACTTGGTCAGAGGACGGCTAGTAGGAAGGAAGGACAAGGTAATATTCAGGAGCAAGAGCATCAGCGTAGGCTCGATAGCGATCCTGATACTTTCGCTGATTCTTATTCTGCTCCGGGGAAAAAATTTCAAATTCGACAGCCGGAGGAGGAAAAGTTAGTCGATCAGGACTTTGTTGACGATGATATTAATTGGAGAGTTCAATACTCGTACGACGAGACTGTTATGGACCCAACAACAGAACAAGTTCAACGTTTTTTATACGAAGAGAGGTGTATGAGGATTGTTCGAACGGCTAGTACTAAAACTCAAACAGTAGAGACCAGCCTAAGCCATTCTTCGTCTACTCAGAGTTTTAAGCAAAAAAAGGGGCAGACTTCCGCCGGTAAGCAGACTTCTTTAGAAATACCCGCTCAGGGTAGACAACGTAGACTTTCTTCCATAACTCAACTGCTAGCCGATGGCCAAAACTCTGTGGTAGTACTAAAACGCGGAGCATGTCGCTTAAGGGATAAACTCAAATCCAAAAATCAGAGGAGTATCTCTTTGACTAAGGAAATTAAAGCTGCCAGGCAATTGGGGGTTATTATGGGAGCTTTTACTTTATGTTTCCTGCCATATTTCGTCTGTTTTATGGTCGTTGCCTTTTGCGACGGCTGCATAAGTCAGTCGTTAATGAATGCTATGACTTGGATCGGATATTTAAATTCGACCCTAAATCCTTTATTGTATCCTCTTTGTAACGCAAATTTCAGGAGAAAGTTCAGAAAAATGTTGTGCTTTAGGAAATATCGATCCGACTTGCCGCCGGCTTACGCGAATCGACTGTGTAAACAGAGGACATCAGTACCGACGGCTTTCGATGCTAGATACGATTTTTAGAGATACCCGTTAACCCAGAGTTTCTTTTTTTAGCACCTAGCGACATCTGTTGGTGTTGTGATAGGGCTGATTTTTCTGCAGACAGATTTTATTGTTGCACTGTTGGGTTTCAGTACAGCACTTAGGTGTTTTTATTTTATAAATAATAATGATTATAACTTTTAATAACATAACAATAACAAAAACAATAACAAAAAGATTAGTGATGATTCATAACAAAGGCCTAATTAATAAATCAGCTAAATTTTTATCGTCCTTTTTGAAGAGGAGACGAGCAGAGAAAGGGAAAAAGATAGGGGAAGAGAGGGAGAGGGGAGTAGGGGGTGGGAAGAAAAGGCGACAGAGAGAGGAAGAGGAAAAGTAGAGAAAAAGCAGGAAGAAAACTAAAAAATATGTCTGAGTTAGAGAAAATAAATTGTAATATATGTCAAGAATTCATGGAAATATTGGGGAACATATAAAAGAAGAGAGAAATATCATTATTATCCTTTATTTTTTTTTTAAATAGGACAGGAAGAGTTTTTTTAAAAAATAACATAAACTAAGAAACCATGAAGAAAAAAGTTTTAGGAAGAGAAGGAAGAGAAATTTGAAAAAATACCCCAAAAATATAAAAGTAAAGTGTATGGGAGAGAGGAAGAGAAAGAGCGAGAGAGAGAGAGAGAGAAAGAGAAAGAGAGACAGACAGGGGGTAAAAAATGATATAAAATATTGTTTATCTGTTCTTTCCGTTGCGCGATCTGATTTAAAAGATGACCTCCAGTTAGCTAGTATTTTAAGGTCTCAGTAAAAACCTAATGAAATTACGTGACGAGCTTATTCAATTGCCAGGTAGTGCCTACAGAAGAGAATATGAAGTAATCAATGATTACCATCGTGTTCTAGTATAAAACTGTGTCAGAAGTTTCCTTGTGAAGGGAAAATATAAGGAATTTTGTCCAAAATAAAAGTGTCTTAAATAGATGTAAAATCTAAGTTAATAAAATTAAAGAAAATCAACAAAAAAAGATAAAAAAGAGAGGAAAAAAATGAAAAGAATCATTGAAAGAAATTGTTCAAATTTTATTTATTATATAATTAAAACAATGAGAAAAGAAGAAATAAATAAATAAACAAACAAGCAAACAAATAAACAAAATTACGAAATTTCTTACAAAATTCATTTACAAACTTGATATTTTTTTTTATATAAAAGTCTCCTCTAATTAGAGAATTTGTTACCTTTTTTACTTATTGTTACTGTTGTTATTAAAAGAGAGAAAGAGAGAAAGAGAGAGAGAGAGAGAGAGAGAGAGAGATATTGCCAGAAATATTTTCTATATAAATAATACATACGCGTACCGATAAGATAATGGTATTAAAAGAAAAGAAAAGAAAAAACAATTTTCTCACTACGTAATCCTATTAATGAGTATTATTTATTTAACAATAATAAAATAATAAAGTAATAGTAAATGAGAAAATGGCAAAAATGCAAAATTAGCATCTATTCCATGGAATTATTAGTTTTAGATTTTAAAGGAGAAAGGTGACTGTATTAGAATTTCGTGTTTCTATTTTAACACTCCCCCCTCCCTCCCCACTACTACCCGCCTCGCACCAATTGACTTTGACAATTACACCTTTTCTTCAAAAATATTTCCCAACTCCTCATTTCCTACTTTCTGAGATTGCTAAACTTTTTAATTTAATGATAAAGAAATTCACCGAAATCTTATCTTTTTCTTTATTGTCTTTCCTCAATAATTGGTCAGATGATGGAGAAAAAGGAATAGACAGTAAAAGATATGAAGGATTGAATGTTATAGCAGATATCAAACGAGATAGAAATCCGAATCGTTTTTCGGTAATTCGTAAATTTCTATAAAAAAGCTATAGAGAAACTTTATAAAAGACAAAACACAAGAAAATAACAATCCGAAAGATTCGTAATTTTGACTTATAGATGTCAATAAATCTTAAATTTATTATCTTCTTTATCTTCTTCTATTTCTCCTCTATTACTTTCTTACTCTTTCTTGTAAAATACTTCAAGATACCTCCAACTCTTCCTTTCCTTCTTCTTCTTCTCTCTCTTTCTTTTTGCGGTTTTGTTATCGTGAGAACTAATTAATAGGTGACGACACAAATTCGTGAGAAATTAAATTAACAACTTGAGCGCCTTCTATAGTCTTCCTATTATTTTTCTGTTACGACAACAGTTGACACGTAATTGAAAAGAAGGAAAAGAGATGGAAAAAATTGCGAACCAGGCGAGAAGATAAGGATGAAGATTTATTCAATCCACGTATAATATATGCAAAATCAATAAATGGTATTTAATATCGTTAGCACTCAAATTAATAATTAAGAATTTGAACAACCGATTAAAGAAACACCAATGCGATAGAGAAGATAAGGGAACTGGAAAGATAAGAGATAAGAATACAAAAACTGATGACTGTGTAATATAAACAAGTTGTTTTGTTAGATAAAAATAATAAAAATTCAATAGATTTGTATTCTATTAAAGAAGTAAAAAATACATGAAACGACTGCATACAAGCTGATAAAAAAATATAATAAGAGTATGATTTCTAACAGCTTATTATAGGCGCTCTGCAAATCTTGCAGTGGAGAGAAAGTCGTGTATAATATTTAGTTTTCAAGTAGGAATTAATAAAGATTTATTTACTTTTTATAGGCCAAAATAGCAGAGAAGGGGAACAACGAAAAGATGCTTTAAAGCGAACCAAAAGAAATTAATGTCTCTACTACTATGATTACTATTTTCATTGCTTTTAATTTGCACAATAACATCTACTACTACAATTATTACTATTATTACTAGTTTACTTTTACTATTGCTTTGTAGCTCTTATTATTCTCTATGACATTTCTTTATCTATCTATCTATCTATCTATCTATCTTTCTATCTATCTTACTCGCTCGCTGGCTCTCTGGCTTTCTTGTCTACCTCTCCACTCCTTCCCTCCCTCCCTCCCTCCCTCCCCTCTTCTTTCCCTTTAATCAATTTCTTGCTAGCTATGTAAGAATTGTTAGATATAGTGAATAATTGGTAACTCTATATAGACTACTTCCAACTTAAGCTAGGATCTTCGTTATAAGTAGAATTCCCCGGTGTAGACTTACAGTTTTTGCAGCTGAAATAACAAAAATCCTTTTTCATCTTTCAACTCTTTTCTTTTTTTTTTTGAAAAAAAAAAATAAACTTTTTTTGCTATTACTTTAATTAATAATAAGAAAAAGTTGAAAACTTTGTAAAAAAAGATAGACAGAAAGTTTAAAGCAACAACAAAAAAATCCCATAAACAATGGTAAAAAGATGACTTTTCACTCTTCTCTTCTTTCTCCTCCTCCTTCTCCTCGTCTTCCTGCTCTTCCTCCATTTTTTTCTTCTTCATCTCCTTCATCTTTTATCGATTGGTTAATTCTCTTGAATTCATTTATAATAATAAAACCAATTTAAGGAATCCTTATGTAATTATCTTTTATCTTATCTATCAAAAAGAAGAAAATATGTAATTAGTTTTATTAATGGTTTTTTTTTTATACGGATATGATGTCGTTTGAAGTGCTTTTAGGGACCATTACACAAGAATCTGTAATTAAAGATTACTATTTTAGCCATGGAGGAAAGAAAAAGTAAAATAGTTTTTTTTTAATAAAAAAAAAGTTGAATAATTAAATCTCTCTTACTAAATGATTCCTTAAGAACGTTAAGCTCCAATGAATCCATTTAAGACAATTCAATATATAGAAAGGTTAAAATCTACTTTGATAAATTTATTTCTTTTTTATCTTGGAATGTCGACTTTTTTTGAAATTTTAACGAATTTATTCTTCTTAAAAACCTCTCTATGCTAACTAATAATCCTTATAGGTTTTAGCCAGGAGGAATATCTCAATAAAAACGGACAAACTTATAAGGAAAAATATAAATAAATTGTACAGAAGAGCCTGTCGCAAGAGGAGATAATCAAAAATAATTCTTTATGAAGTAGTTCTTTCTAATGATGTAATTTAATATATTATGTAATGGTTTCTTCCTAACAAAACATTCTCATTCTCGCCTTATAAGAAATTCCCTTTTCCTCCTTCACGGGGATACCATAATCCATAATTCTAGCTCTGCGAACAGAAAGAGCACGAAATGATAAATGAATAAACTTTTTCGTCAAAGATATTCCCAGATTCAATCTTCTATTCTATTCACCGATAAAAGTTCCAGAGAAAATGGCTATAAATGATACAGTTTCTCTTATTCTCGACATGAAGGCCTATTAATAATTCTTTTTACAGAATGATATTAGTACATTGAAGTAAATTAAGCAGGAGGAAAAAAGAGAAGAAGATCAGATACAAATAGCTTTTTCCCTTATCGATGTTTCAAGAAAAACAAAAGTTGCCAATTATTTTCGTATTTGAAAGGGAAAAAAACTGAATAAAAAGTGGCTTATGAATTTTTGAAGAAGAAGAAGAAGAAGAGAGAGAGAGAGAGAGAAGAGTGAAATAGCAAAGGTTTACATACAATATATACTGTATATTTTATTCTCATTTGCTGTACAACGCAATGAAACTTTTGCAAGCAATATTAAATACATTTATTGATTTATTGTTCATTTTGTCGGATTAGGGTTTTTAAGCCATTTACAGACATTTTAATTAATAATACATTCTACGTTTACGATGTGAATATATTGAGAATTTGGCAGAAAAATGTAATGTTCGCCATTCAATTGGAACGAAGAACCACTGTCAGATTCTGATTGAGAGAATACACTATTCGTCGATAGTTGAACATCGTCGTCGGCCGTTATATAGAAGACATCTTTTATGCCTCCTTTATCTTGGTTCATAATAAAGAACGTTGTTTCTGGTAGTTCTATGGCTATACTCCATCTATGTATAGCAAAGGCAGAATGCCCCAAGTCAAGATGATTTTTGAAATTGAACATTGTACCATTCCACTTGTACAGATAAACACCAGTGTAAATATTAATGGAAACGAGATAATAGCTATCTTTCACCTTGGTAATTGTTGCTTTAAGGTCTGTTGCCCGATAGATCGTTTGAACTAAGCTCTCTATTGGGAATTAAAAAAGAAAAAGTATTGATTTAATTCGTTCAGACGATTAATATGAGATTTTAACAAGATTGTTTTTTTTTGTGTTTTTGTTTTCTTCATCTCTTAACCTGAATAGTCTGGTAATAATTTAGTGATTTCCGTTCCGTCTGATATACCATTTTGATAATTCATATTCTTCGATATGAATATCTCGTCGTCAATGTGATGCAAGACAAAATCTCTTGCCCTTTTCGATCCATCGTCGTTGTATTCATTTATTTTCGACCAAAGGCTAGTGTCGTTCATTAATTTGTATATTTTATAATTACCACCTTTAAGTATATTTTGAAGTTATAATTAGTTAATTAACTGTAATGACGTTCAGTTGAAATGGTATTGAATACCAACCGTAATATCTACGGTAAACAATTAGTATCAAGTCGTATTTATGCTCTGTTAAAGCCATTATATATGATCCAGAATTTGGCATTGTTTGAATGGAGGTAACTCCTTTAGGATGGAAAAAACGAATGAAATGAAAATAAATAAAGAGAGAGAGAGAGAGAAAGCAGAAGAACAACAACAACCTGATTTAGTAAAGTTATACACTCTTACACCACCCGAATACGTTATTATTAAGTATGCGTGATTATCTTTTTCGTAGAAGAGCGGCGTTCCTCTAAAAGTAGTTCGACAAGCGTCAGCTATTTCTAAAAACTCTTTCCACTGTTTAATATAAGCATTCCATATAAAGATCTTGGCGCAACTAAAAAAGTAAAGTATAAGAAAAGAATTATTAATAAAATATCTTTTATCGTTATGTAAATTAAATGGAAATATATCTATTTACCCAGTTTTTGAGTGACAAACGATAAAATTGTTGGATTTATACGAAAACTTTTCACAATCGAGCGCCTTATCCATGACTATCTTTTGACAAACTCTAGTTTTTTTACCTGATTAGCGGAGGAGGGGAGGAGAGTGTAGGAATAGAGAAAAGAGAAACCTTTATGAAATTGATAATAATAACAACTCTTATTTAATATCTACTTGGACATAGTACGTAGCAATCTGATTGATCTTCCTGAACGTAACCTTTAATCTATTTATAAGGATAAAAAAGAAAGAAAGAAATATTCAAGCTGCTTGAAAAAGAATGGTTGTTTTAAAATTGTTCTATACAAATCCAAAGTATCCGGATTCGTTCTGGTCGAACGCTCCATTAAAAGAATTATCATATAAATAGCATAATTCTAATCTATAATAGTAGCCCAGGCATCCAGGAGTTTCAGAGCAAATCTCGGCGCACGAAATCCTACTTTTGGAAGGAAACTGCTTAAAGGCGGGGGACATAGGTAGACCTTGCTTCTCTAATGAGAATAATGTTGTATTAAAAGATCCATTAATTAGATTGATTCCGCTAAAGAGGATAAAGTATAAAAGTATCATCCTTGGCTGGGCTGAGATCGTTTATTAAATGATATTAGCATACTAAATAAAAGGGAAAATATATTCAGGCCTAACCGTGATTTTTCCAGTCACCAGTTTACATGGTACAAGTAATTTTTAGTCTTTTCCCATTAATTAACCTCTTCTAAATGCCATTGAAAAACAATAGAATATCCTTTTTCAGTAGCTAATAGTTTTATTTAACCAGATGACAATGACAAAGTAACAGTTAACCTATTCAATCATTCAATTGGTTGAAAATCTACGCAAGTCTTCAATTACGTTGCCTAGAAATTATATATTATCACATTTCTTAAACAAAGAGATAATTCAAGCTCTCTTTGTAAGTTTGAACGCTCTTCAAACATTTCCATTTTTTTCTTGGATATTTATTCAAACGAATTCAATCATTTTACAGGAAACTATCTGAAACAAATCGACTAACTGAATAGTATAAATCAGCTTTTTTTCCCCCCTTCCTCCTTCTTTTTGTTCTAATTAAGTAATAGTCATCATCTAAATTATATTGATTTTGCGAGGAAAAATATGATGCCCAATTCAATACTCTCTATTCTTTAACTATCACCTCTTAATTCATTTTCCGCTTCCTTTCCACTTTGCCGAAAGATGATGAAAAGGGCGAAAGAGTAGTAGAGTTATGTTCATTTTATATTCTAAGAGTAACGTCAAATTAGGTTCAGCTTCTGGCTTTGAGTTAAACGGCAGTAATCTAATTCAGAGTTAATCAAGTATCTTCTCAAACGTGAGCTGCTATACAATAATTAATTTGGGTACTCTTCAATTAAACTAAGCAGAATTTTTAACGCTTTCTTGATATTAGCTATTTTAAATCTTCTACATAAAATCAACAACACCAAGACTACACAACAAACATATACTGTATATCTATACAGTATACAGCATAATATGGAAATTACACCATTCTATTCTAATTTGCATAAAGCATTGTTTGCGGACGTTTTTATGTTGATAATTTTTCTCTCTCGATTTATTACCTTTCTATTACTAATTAATGATTAATGAACAGTAAATAGGATCGATTAATTAATTAATTATGTAATTAGTTAGCTAGCTAGTTAGGGCAGTTTTTGTTCTGCTATATAATTTTTATCATATGTATTGAAATACGGGGTAGAGAGGGTTAGGGGGGAGGAAATGGGTGATTAAAATCTCTTTTATTTGCTTTCTTTTGAATTGTTGATATTACATAAATATCTCCATCACCTTACATTATATTTAATTTATTTTAAAATGTCAAAAGAATTGAATGTTTTGTTAAGAATCCTTCTTAAATCGGTAATTTTTGACCAGTTGTTGAACAGTGGCATAGAGCCATATATTGTTTCATATTAAAATCCTCTTCTTTAACCTTGTGTTGATCGGAATGTGATAGATTTGCCATATCGTCATTCCAAAATTCAAGCATTCTTTCATTGTACAAAGTTTCAACATGAGCGTTGCTTGTAAAGACTTTAACGTTTCTATTATTCTTGGTGAAAGGTTTCCAATCGGAAGGAGAGCTAAATTAAACAATACAGAGAAAGTTAAAAAATGGATTTAACAGAAGAGAAATGATAAAGAGATTATAATAAATCAATAATTATTGATAAAATTATTAGATATCTCTTACAATCAGTTTTTTGTATAGTAGCTTTATTAGTTATGTTAATCTAAATCGTTTTTCATGATAATTACCCTTTTTCCATAAATTCTCCCCACGCTTTCATGAGGTTCATACTGATACTCTTGTCGTGATGCCCCCAATTTGTCGATATTCTGCTCATGTAGGGATCTCCAAAAATGTATGGAACATCCATTCCTCTACTCATAACTAACCAATGAGGTCCTACGCTGAAAGGTGGCTGATGTTGTAGTTCGTATAGATAAACAGTAGACAGCTTTCTAGCATAATATTCGGCCAGCCTGTAAGTGGGTGCAACGGTATAAACATCGCCCAACATTTTTGATGCCATTCTGTAGAGAACGTCTTTTGGCTTGTTCTTGCTATTGTACATGCTCTTCGTTCTCATCACCATTTCGTTTTGAATTCCTTCACTATTACTTTTGTATGTATAAAGCTTACACAATAGGGTGACAATTTCGGCGAAATGCTCTTCGTCTCTTATCGTATTGCCTGAATGCCCTATAAAAGGTTGAACGTAATCGAACCCCTCATTTGATACGGCTCCTAAGAGAAGAGGAATTTTGAGTTGTCTATTTTTTTCGTAGATAAGTTTTGGATCATCGAGTATGACGTGTCCGTCAATGACTAAACTGAGATTAACGCTAATAGGTAGCAATTCAACGAGCTTTTGAATGGGTACAGTTTTAAGGAAAGCTTTCATGGCTTTTCCGTCCTTGTTTCCAGGATAATCGAAGAAAGTCTTAACTAAGAAATAGAATAGTTCAGAAGCAAAAGCGCGGGTCATGAAAAACTCAGGTTTAATAATAGTACCACCGGTACAAATAGCACGATGGAAGAGTCCTTTTGCTAGTTTTGAAACCATTAGAGCATTAACCATTACTGATCCTGTAGAGGAGAGAAATATTTTCCTTTAGTTATTGAATGTATAGAGTATATAATTTGTATAATTCATTTTTTCTCTTTCTCACCTGCTCCAGTTCCAAAAAGAGTAACATTACTCTTGTTTCCTCCGAAATGTTCTATATACTTTTGTACCCATTGCAAAGATAGGATTTGATCTAAAAGAGCGTAATTTCCTTCCAAAGCACCGTCGTGGGACGTCATAAAACCTATATTGTAAATATATATTCTGTTATACGATAATTAGAATAATATATTTTATACTGTATACAAAGTATTATATAGTTTATACAGTAGTTTTAATATTATAATACAGTTTCTATTATTCTTTATTAACAAACCTAAAGATCCAAATCTGAAGTTTACAGTAACGAGAATGCATCGGTTTACGGCACAAAACACTTCTCCTCCGAAGAGATTTTGTGAACCAATTTTTAAGAATGTATTATTAAAATATACTATAACCGGAAGCTTTTCATTTGGTTCAACATTGCTCGACCTCCAAACATTTAAATATAGGCAGTCTTCGTCCATTATCGAGTCCTCCGGTTTATTCTCCAGCATTTCGTTATACGCATCGAAAGACTCCCTCAATTGGGGAGTAATTGGGCCTATAGTTTTGGCAACAGAAAAAGAATGTTATGTATAGAATAAATCTACTTTAATAAATCTATATATTAACCGCATTTCGTAGCAATCTTTTTGCCAGACCATAATTCAGCCATCTGGGGTCTTTCAAATCTTTCGGCCGTTCCAAATCTTATACCCAAAAAGCAATCAACTGGCTTATTAATTTGAGGGTTAGTGACCGTCAGTCCCTCGATTGAACAGTCGGAAGATATCTGCACTGTAGGATTCATTCTTGGTGGACGAATTGTTAGAGTAAGTGATATCTTTCAGTTTTGGTAGTAGAATGAATTCGATAATGTATATATGTTGTTAAAATATCAGCTTGCTATCTATACCAATTAACCAGATGTTGAAGGGGTCAAACAATGAATTACCCACGTCTGTGTCTATTAAACCTGAACAAATTTTATGGGCCAATGGACCGAATCGATTTCTATTTAATTCCGACACCCGCTTCAAGCTCTTTTTCAAAACAAAGCAATGCTATTACACATTCTATGATATACTGTGCCCGTATAATTGTATTCACTGAAACTTTTGTTTCTTAGATTCTATCATCAACATTATGAATTAATTAATAATATACAGTAGTCTAATTTCCCTATTAGTTTCACTATCCCTCTACTTTTAATCTAATTCTAGACAGCCATCTTTTAATAATATCTTTTTTAACTATTTTTTTGTATTCATGTTTAAGCTGTAGATTTGTTCATTTATCTCTTCTAACTAATTGTCAATTTCTTTTTTATCCTGCGTTTCACCCACCCTTCTTCTACCTTCTTTTTTGTGTTTCTTCATAAAAATACATCACAGATGGCTAGACGACTGCATCTACTGTTGCCATCTGGCGTTCTTGCAACAAAAGACTATAGTGTAAACAAAAAGACACACTTGTATATACTCATTCATTTATTCATCATCTAGCTAATCAGCGTATTTAAAATTTATATCTGTAATTGTAAAAGTAAAAATTAACAGTAATAGGCCCATTTAGTTCTACTAACAATAATTACAATAATAATAATAATAATAATAATAGTAATGCCAGTAATAGTAAAACATAGTAGGAAAATAGATTTCCTATTAACAAACAAACAAGAAAGTGTCTCAGATGCATTGCATAAAAGAGAGAGGGGGGAGGGAGGGAGGAGGAGGAAGACACGGAAGAGAAACAATACAAAAAAGCCTCGAAATATACAACAGATAAAAAATGGTATATAAGTGATCAATTTAGTTTGATATAAAGTATAAAATTTATACTATACACTGTATATATTGTATTGTATGAGATGAAAAGGATTGTTTAAGAGGGAAGAAAGCTGGTTTGGAATAGGAAAATATGTTGGATTATTAATTAGGATTGTTGTAATAAAATAAAAGGATAGGGTAGAAAGTATTAAGTAAGAAAATTGATCAATCATTATTAGAGTTGATTAGTTGTGTTTCCTTTAGAATCAATGAACTATAATTAGGTACTCCCCTTGAAAAAATTCTTTTAGTCTATACTCGGTCTTTTATAGGTTTTGTGGGAATGAAAATGAACCATTTACTTGTTGTTATACCCGGACAATAAAACGAAAAATGAAAAGGTCTTGTTTTAATAGAATAGTCTCTATAAATTAATTAATTGGTTAACTAATTGATAAATGAAATGTTGGGATACTTGAAGTAGTTTAGTCCATGTTAAATACTTATTACTTATACTTAGAGCTCTCTACTCCGTTAATAGGCATATGTTTGGATATTTTATTATTTACCAAAGTTAAATTCGTCTCTGCGGTTTGTACTACTTGTACTATTTTCTCTGACCGACTAATGATTGAAGGACTTTTATTCGGGCTACTTTAACGGAGCAAAAATCAATTGGATAGGGTTCGCTAGTTGGCCAGAAATTCCCAATAGAACAACTTGGGCGCAAAGCGATTCAAATGTAAAAAGTCGAAAAATATCCAACTTAGTGGAAGAAAACCGTGACTAAGAGTTTCTTTTTGGGAGAAATATGATTATCTTTAAGCTTTTCCGCACAGTTGATCTTTGCCTAGTAAACTAGACATGACTTTATTATACATCAATTAAATCTTTTCCATTTCTGTGTCTCTCTTCCTCTGTTTCTCCAGCTCCGTAGCCCCTTCTCTCTCTCTCTGCTTCACTCTGTTCACGTAACGGAAAATGTTACATTTACCAACTTTACAGCAATTCCCTGGGGTATTGCGAAATCTAAGCTCATTGCAAATGGCGGTAAAATTCTTGAGCTCTTTATTATGATTTCTCGTCAACAGACGAAACGTGGCCGAAATTATTTTCTACAAAACTAAGACGAAGCTTTAGTCCATACTAATTTTTTTATATGCCTTCCCTCCTGCCAAGTTACCTCTCTTTTCCCACATTCTCTCCATCCATCTATCTATCCATCTATGAAACATATTTAGAAAAAGTTTATTCTCGTTGCTCACGTTTCCTTTTCTTCCCTTCTCTTTATTCTTCCGTCCTCTTGATTTGCTTATGCATGAAATAATTATAAAAGTATAAAAATCTAATTAGTACAAATTTATTTATTAATAGTAATTTAAAAGATAATTAAAATAATGACTAGGAGAAATAGCTTTCATTGATTCTTTCTTCAATATTCTCTCTGTTTTTCTTTCCTATTCTAAAGTATTATAAACTTTCTACAACATTCTACTTTAAATGTTATATTTATTTAATGATTTCTCTTGATCTGTTTTGCTTTTATAATATTAATTTAATTTATTTAATTGAATTAAATAGAAAATGAGACAAGTAAACTTTTCATTATAGTTGATCAGTTGTCGATTTATTAAAGATGAGAGAGAGAGAGACGGAGGGAAAAGGAAGAGAAAGTACTTATTGATAATGTTAACAATTTGAAACAAATTTGTGCTTGTTCATTTCTAATTAGCCTAATTAAAATTACTTAAAGAAAGTTAACTGTGAATGGTAGATAGGAGAAAAATGTTAGTTTTGTATTAAATAGAAAGAAAATGGATAGAAAATAGTCATTTGTTGTTTCTTTTTCAAATGTTTTCTCTTCTTAAACTGAGAATATATGAAAGATGACAAGAAAGAAATATAATTGTATAGTAGAATTTTGTTTCTTTGTGCTTGTTTTTCAACTTATATAGTATTTGTATATAAATATATATATATATATATATATATATATACTGTATATATAGAGAATATTAGATAAATTGTAATCTAATACCTCAGTACAAGGCGTCTTACTGAGAATTTATTACTTAAAATTTTTCTACTATAGACCATAAACTAATTGATGTTATCGTTAAATGTGAATTCATAAAAAGAACAAATGATCCCTAATTAATCCGAGGGGGGATTATAAGAATAAAGAAAATCGTTAGTGAAAAAAATACAATATTATTCCCTTTAAAAATAAATCACCAATGAAAGATAGTAGGAGAGATTGATAGGAGTCGGGAAGAGGATGAAATGAATAGATAAATGAATAGATTCTGTATATACAGTAGATGAATGAAAAGGTGGAGAGAGTAGAAGAAAAATGAAATTTCGTTAGTTTCAACGGACGAGTACTTGGAATCTCTTTCTCGTCTATTTATCCAAGAGAATTTAGGTTCTCTTTAGAAAAGGATAGCACTACTATTCCTATTAAATATAGTAAAAAGGGAAAATGAATAAATGATGGAAATTGTAAAGAAAACTTTATTGACAAAGGTAATTTTCAACAAATTACTAGATTATTTACCAGATAAAAGTAGAAATATTCCACAATATTACATTATATAGCTTTCTTCTCTTATAAGAAAGGAAGATAAGTAATCTTTTAAACTATCATTTTCTATTCATAATAGAATCTCTATTGAAGTCTGTCTGTACTGTATTCAAAATGTTAACATAGGAAGAAGATAGAAAAACAACTAGATATAGATAGACGGATGGCTAGATAGATAGATAGTTAGATGGTTAGAAAGATATAAAGATATAAAGATAGATAGATAGACAGATAAAGAGTAAGAGAGAAAGAGATGTAAAGGTAAGAAAGAGAAAAGAATATAGGAGAAGAGTGATTTGTCTGTATTTGTTTTTGACCAATAACGCATTAGTAAAATTTCTTTTGTTTATTAATTCAAAAAGAAATGATTGGACAGTATTAGATTATTAAAATGATTACATTAGACTCTTTTTTTCCCCTCTTTTCTCATCAAATAAATATTCAAAAATATAAAATGAATTTGTTGTCAAACCAGACAAAATATCTAATATATTCTTTTAATGGATTTAATGGACAATACAAGTTATTACTTGATCTATAAAAGTACAAAGTTTTCCGTTTCTATATTGTATCTATCTAACTATCTATCTCTCTGTCTTTTTCTTTCTTTCTTTCTTTCCATTCCTCCTTCTTTCGTGTCCTGGATTTGTTGCCTCAAGAACACAGTATCTTGTTACATACGTACAGATGTATGGTATACAAAAAACTCTATTATTATCTTTCCGAAGCAATTAATAATTGATTCGAATTAATCCATACTTGCTTTACTAATAATCTAATACTACAACTAATTAATTATCCAGATATCTCTCTTCTTCGTAAACAAAAATATTCTCTTTCATTTTATGTATATGTGTGTGTATATGCCTAATTGCCGTTGAGCTTTTAAGTTGAAAGACAAACGCGATAATTTTACAACTATTGTTGTTTTTGATATTGTTCTTATTATTATTATTAGTGTTATTATTTAGGTCGTTTATGTCTTTTTCTGTTACAAATTAATGAATAGAGTCATTTTAATAAGTCTTCGTTTGTTACTTAAAACCGTCAATGAAATCAGAGATAGAATTTTTAATAATAAATAGAGATAGCCGAGAAAGAAGAAGACTTTAATAGATTTCTCTCGATAGATGGCGCTACTGGGAAATCAAAATATGAATTTTCATGTTAAAACTTATCAACTCTTCAAAGTTACAGCAAACATTAGAGAATAGTTTAGTATGTTTTTATTATGGAAAAATTCTTTCCTTTTCTTTTTTTTTTAAAAAGAAATAGAAAAAAAAGGCAATATCAATACTTATATTAAAATTGGAGTATAATAAACAAAAGCGATAGTAGTAATTGTAATAATAAATATAATAGTCATAACAATATTTGGATAAAATTACAATACAAATACAAGAATCATGAGAGGTAATTTTTTTGTGTTTTTGGGTTTTTCAGCTTTGTAAACATTTTCCCCCATCACTTAGATTGGAGTTAAGGATTAAGCTGATATAAAATAATGAAGAAATATTTTGAAACTTTCCTTTATCTGTTATCATTTCTCCATGTTTTCTTTTAAGACAACAAAATGAATTTTATATCTTTTGATTGAATAAGACAAAATAGTTTTGTCTTTTTATATTTCTTTGTTTAATAAGCTAATTAGTTGATTGTTTTTTTTTTGTTCGCTTCTTGTTAAAAAGTATTTTCAACAAATTTGAATCTCTCGCTATTATATGGGTTTTTTTAAGGTTAATAAAAGGAAAATACGTATTAATGGCACGAGAATATATCATCAGGTACATTCACTTTACACTGCAACAAGAAAAGAAAATTAAATCTCTCCTTCTCTATCTTTCTTTTTCCTTAAAAAAGAACACTTTGAAAGAGAAAAGAAAGAAAATGAAAAGTTTTTTCCTAATATATATATACAGTATATATAGATTATACTCATTCCTCTCTTCTCTCTTCTCAAAAAGAGATAAATGAATGAATAAGATCATTAGATATTTCTTATATACTGTATATAAATTAAGAGTTATATAGTGTTATAAATATATAAATAATCTAAATATATATACAGTATATATAATGTATATATATATATAGATTTTCTGTACATAAACGCCATATTACTGTTGCTTTTTTATAACAAGAAACAAAACTGAAAATATGAATGCATAGTAAAATTTGAAAACGCTTTGCAGTTTGCAGTTCCGTTGTTTTTTTTTTCCTGTCCCTCCAGTTCGAGGATTATCTTTATTTCTAATTCATCATCAGTCAGCGCCCTAATGCGAACAACAGAAGAGATAAAATGATTTTTCTCGATGCTCTAGCGACGCCTTCTGTCGAATTATAGCCAAGTTCTTTATAGCGTTGTTGTCCGTTGCTGTCTTTTCGCATACGTGTTTGAGCTGAAAAATTAATGAGAAGTCAGAAAATTTTCTTAAATAATCGTAAATTATTCACAGCATTCTTCTTCTTATCTTCCAATTAAAGCAAAATTTAAGGATAGTTGTAAATATCTCGTTTTAACTAGTAGAACTTTGATTAAATTACTCTATAAACTTTCCCCAGCATTCTTTCGCTTTCTTACAATATCTTTTTTTGTATTGTTCCATCATTCCCTCCCTGTTACCCTTCCTCTATCGTGCTATGAGTTTGTGGGGAAAATTGAAGGATTTAAATGAGTTTTGCCATCAAGGCGTATGTTTGTATTATGCCCCGGAACAATTTCCAACGTCCTGTCCAATGAATATCAAAAAGAAAAAAAAAACAGTACAGAAAACACAGAAAGAGAATGAGAGTGTGTTTGTAAGTAATGAAGGAAGAGAAGATATTTAAATAAACATGTTGGATATATTGTGGAGGAAGGGACATATAAGAAAGAGAAGCAGAGAGATAAAAAAAATAAGATAAAAGGTAAAAATGATAAAAACAAGTATAAAGTTTGATGTAGACTAGTAAATTTTTGTTTCTACACTTTGCTCAATTAAATGTAGAAGGATAAAGTGGAGAGAGATGTCTTTTTATGGAAAATTCCTATTAATATAGATATAGAAATAATTTTGTTGAATTAAATAACATTTAAAAAGTCAATAATAACTGCAATAATAATATGGAAAATAAAGAAAGAAGAATATAAAAGTACTTTAATAATCTGCAAAAAGAAATTGACATTCGCACTGCGTGACAGTAGTCTTCAACTAAAATCGCTTTTGCCTGGAAAAGATTCTGAAGGATATTATCTATTGTTGATTTCGATAGTTGGATGATATTTTTTATTAATAAATTTCTCGCTATCTGTTCTTTCTTTATCTTCTGTCTCTGTCTCTGTCTCTCTTTCTGTCTTTCTCCCTCTCTCTCTCTCTCTCTCTCTCTCTCTCTCTCTCTCTCTCTCTCTCTCACTCTCTCTGTCTTTCTCACACATAGCTACAAACACATACACACTCTCTTTTTGTGTCTCTCTTTTGTTTTATCTTAATAAAAACTAACAAAAGATAAATAGGAGGAAAAAAATTTGACGCAATTAAGGATTATGAATTATTAGTACTCTTTTGAATTATCTTATGAGCTTTCTATATGATACCTATTGTTGGATAAACGCTTTACACATTCAACATAAAATGATAGTGTTATTTCCCATAACAACAAAACTCCTATGAATAGTGTCATGAAAACCATATGGTAATGAGGTGAATCTTGTCCAAAGCAATCTATCGAAATTCCGGACACGGTAAAATTAGGGTCGACGTCTGATGTACGATTTATAAACCCTTATGTTTTCCTACTTAAGTATCAAGTTTTACCGACTTGGATAATATACAAAAGAGATGAAAGTGTCCATAGAATAGGCTGAGGGCTCTACTTTTTTCCTACCTTTTATCATTTCTTTATAGTATTATTTTTTGACCTGAGCTAGGTTTATAAACAGCTTACAAATAGAGAAATTATATACAACTAAGGGAATATTAAAGATATTACATCCGTTAAACCTTCCTATACGCTTCCATTCTTTAGACTATTTCTAGCTCCTCAAATCTATTTTTGGCCTTTTATTTCTCTTCCTTTCCATCATTTCTTAACAGTTTTCTAGATAGGGAAACGATTGGGAAAAGCAGAAAAGGAGGATTTAAATGACGATTAAATCTAGCCCTGTGACCTTTGTGTTTACGCTTCCTCGTATCCTCTTTTAATTTGTTTCCTAAATCTTTTCTATTATCATTATTAATGGCAAGGAATGAAAATGGGGAATAAAATACATGGAATGGATCAACTGGATGGGATTCGGAAAAGAGATATTGTCACAGTCGCGTAGAACTATCCAATTTTGCTTAGAGGAAGATAAATAAGAAAAAGATTTGTTTTCCCCTTATTTTGGTCTTATAGATCTACACGAACCGTTGAGAATAACCAGTTTAATCTCGGCCGAATCTTGATTTGTCGATACGCACTTGTATTCTCCTTGGTCACCTTTTTCAGCTTCTTCAATAGCCATAACGCTAATAATTACAAGTTTTTCCACTCTTTTTGTGATTAAGATTCGAGAGGATTTCTCATCTATAGCTCTACCATTTTTCAACCATAGAATATCATCGGGAGCATGGGGTCTGCCGGTAGCGTTGCAAACAATTCTGATGGAACTTCCAACTTCATAGAATTCGTGACCGTAGATGCTGACGGCTGAAAATAGAGTGGCACAATAAATAAATAAATATAAATAAATTCAACTATACAAGTATTGTAGTTGTCCTGTAAATATTGCACTTATTATTAAAAACAAGTATGATTACAGTCTTGAATCGGAATTGTTATTTAGTATAGACTAGACCTATTAGAAATAGATTACATGCAACATATACTTCAGTGTCTACATATATTTTTCATTAAATATTTCATATAAGAAAGTGTCTTTAGGAAGTTACGCCAGAGGACAAAAGTATCCTCTTTGCTTATTTAATACTTCGTGATTTCGTTCTTTATGTTTTTTATATTTTTTATACGTTTTCTCTTCTTCTCTCTTTTCTTCTTACAGTATATGTCTATCTATTTAACTATCTTTCTGTTTCTTCATCTCTCTCTCTCTCTCTCTCTCTCACTCTTTCGTTTTCCCTTCTTATTCCTCTCTTACTCTATCTCTCTATCTATTTCCCTCTTTATCTCTCTCTCCCTCTCTCCCCCCTCTCTCTTTCTCTCTCTCTGTGTTTGATTGATCCTTTGCTCTGGATTTTCTTATGTCATTACGATATTAAAACCTCTAAGTATACAATTAACATTGATTTTAATTACTTTTTTCACTAATTTATTAAATTGATATGAAGAGTAATTGAATGATAATTTTAGGAAAAGTTATAAATGAACCAAAATCAATATTCCTATTCTTATAGAGCGCAATTGTTCATGTGAAGATTAATTAATTCTTTAGAAAAGATAAGATATATGTATATATAAAGCTCTTACAAAGTGTATAAACAGGCGTATACCCAGTTTATACTGTATATATAAAAAGGTACGATATTGTATAAAAAGCTTTGCAATTAACGCATACTTTGTTATGAAAAACATACGTCTTTGAAGGTTTACCAGATGTTTTTCAAGCAGAAATACGAACTGTGAAATAGACCAGATACTTAATTAAATACCCGTTGAATATATATCTACCATATCTAATTTTACTTATCTAAAACAACCTGGAAAACTATTTTTCTTACTTATTCTCGATTATAAATCAACATTTTCGTTTTCTGATTATATTGATTAAAGGGAATAATTTCTCTCATTCGCCGAGTTCTAAACTCTTTCTCTCTCCCTCTCTCTCTCTCTTTTCCCTATTGTTTTTGTCAAAAAATAACAAGGCAAAACAAGACAAAAGTAAACAACTTAAAAAACTAAACCTTTGATTCCTAGTAAGGGAAGAAGGGGAAGAGACGATAGACAGTAGGAGAATAGAAATAAGGAAGAGGATAACATTTATTTATTTGTTAAATACACAAATTCTTATGTCTGGTGAGTTGATTGTAGAATAGAATAGTAAAAAGTAATAGACAACAGAAATAAATACTCTCTTTTCCCATCGGTAAACTAGAATTATTATATAGAATACTAATATGCATATTATATTGAAATGATAAATAAGAATTTGTCAGAGCATACTGTATATTTTAGGAAATATCTAGGGATAAAATAGGCCTACCAGCAACAAATAATTCATCATTTGCATATTTATATTTATTACAATTTTCTTTATTTCTTTCATTTTTGTTTTATATTTTGTTTTCATTTTTTTTTTAAAAAAAAAAAAAAGAGTGGAAAAAAAAAAGGGATAAAACCCGACCTATCTTGAGAATTTCAATCAGGGTCCCAGACCACAATTTTTATAACGCACTTTTTTTCATCTATTAATCTACGTTAATCTCTTTCGAGCTTTGGAATCACGAAAGCATACTTTCATTCCCACTTGACGAGTGCTTAAGTCCTTTCGATCGGATAGTTTATAAAACTAATTATTAAAAAAATTATATACGCTCCGCAAAAAAGATAAAATGCATAAAAAGGACGCGAGTTAATCTGGAATACTATATATAGCTGCATATATATATATATACATATATATATATATAAATACTTATATACATATTCCAAAAGAAACTGTTACGTATCCTCTTCCCGTGCTAAAGGCAAATCTAGAAAATAAATGGAACAATCGAACGACTGCACAGCAACGTTTTATCGATTTTATTAGGTCAAAAGTTTTCCGGCAGTTCGACTTAATGGAAGTGTTTTTTCTTCAATCGAAAAAAATATACTTTCCAATCTATCCTACCTTTAGTGGATTTTGAGATGGTAAATAGGCCTATAATGGTAACCGTCCCTTAGGCTAATCTGGTCTAAAATTCCCTGCGTAATTACTGCGCAAATCCTCTGTGATTTTACAAATGTGAATAGCATATGATGAGGACTATTGCTGTATATACGTCTGCATGGGTGAAAGAGTGCCGAAGATAGTCACGTGGTCTATTCTGGGGGGTACTTAAGTAGGTTTTCAACGCCATGAAAAGACCCAAGTAAGTAAGAAAAAAAAAGAAGAAAGGAAAGAGAGGAGGAGAAGGGAAAAGGAAAAGAATTGTTCTATATGAATAATATTTAATTTTAGCAGTTGAAAATACCGAGAGAGATGGAGGGAGGGAGAGGGAGAGAGAGAGAGAGAGAGAGAGAGAGAGAGAGAGAAAGAGTGGGAAATAATAAAATAAAAGAAAGAATAGATAATTTAAACATATTATATAAGAAACTAAAAAATTACTATATAACGGCATATTTTCTTATTTGTTCTTTTCCCTTTCTTATGGCATTAGATCAAAAGTTGTTTAATAAATTAGCTATCTTTACTATTAGTTTTTCCATTGTCCATTTCAGTATATATACAATATATATAATATATATATATATATATATATATATATATATATATATATATATATGCTGTATATATATATTTTATATACTTTAGATATATTTATATATACTTATGCGTGCGAATACTATATCTTTTTTTCTTTGCCCAAAGCGTTCTCCTCTCTAATAGTAATATGATTCCTAAAGTCTAATAAGAAAGACCAAAAGGATGGGTTGGGCGTTTGTAAAGGATATTTTTAAAAATATAGGGAATAGAGGGAATTTCAAGGAAATTGTCCTTGAAATATCACTTAGTAATGCATTGTAAAGCAGTTATCAGATTAACTAAACGTTTATTGCATAAGGTTTCTAGATATTTTTAAATATAATATTAAATAGATATGCCTGAAGCAAACTGGTAGCTCCTAATGGGAAACGTACAAAGAAGAAAACTCTGATAAGTTTACTACCAACACTTTGTTCTTATTAAGGTTAATAACTACATGGTGAGAAAATACAATTAATCTCCATCATCAATCACCCAATGTTATTTTATGTGACATTAATTAAAGAAAAGTTGGATAATTTCTAGTTAACTTGAACTTATTACCTTTTTTATTTACTTAATAAAGATGAAAGAAGAAATATGAATCGAGACAGAGACAGGGAGAAAGAAGAAATCTATCAAATCGATTGTATTTTTATGATACTTTTATGTGGAAAAATTAACTGTCATTATAGGTGTTGTCGTGTACTCTAAATTCCGAATATACTAATATATAGGATAGTAATTGTGTCCGTGTTCTATTTATCTCTTAATCGAATTAAATAGATATTAAAATATCGTTTTTTAAAATATGAATAACTACAAAGAAATGATTATTGAACATAAGGTAAAGTAAAAAATGACAGCATCATGCAGTGAGAATTCAATTAAGATTGGCACTGGTTATTGTTGTATGACAATAACCATTGAAATAATGACTATCCCCTTAATTCTTTTATTTAAGTAACAGGAGGACAGAATGGGCATTTTTCATGTATGGATGGTTAAATTCTTACTCCTCCTACTCTCTTTTTCCTACTCGTATTTTCAGGAATAGCCGTCTCCATTGGTTATTGTCTGTCTCGCATTAATTCTATACAATTATTTAGTCTATTCTATAAAGGAAATGAACCGTTCTATCCTCTTATGCAAACAAGTATGATTTCCGTGCCTAAAATTTCTAAAAGACTTTTATCTACGGCCGTTTTCCCGCGCATTTTACTGATTCTTAGAATTGTTAGTATACAGTATACTAAAAGAATGGAAAAAAAAAACTCTACTCACTCCTAACTCGTAAGCGAAACGAAAAACTCTTTGAATGCCTCGAAGATATACCGCACTTGTAGATACCATCGTCTTCTGGTCGAACATCAGTTATAATTAATTGCCATTCATTCGTCCTATAATTATAATCGATGCTATATCTATCGTCGGGGAAGAATACAAATTTTCCAACAGTTAGCATATCAGCACTTCCGTCGGGTTTTTCTCGAGTCCATTGTATCTATTCGAGATAAAAAAAAGATAATTACAAATAAGCCTATTCAACCTTATATAGACGCTTTCGGTAGAACGCTTCCGACTTATACAATACAATAGAAATATTATCTGTGTAGGGCTTTATTAAAATATCTCTCCCCGAAGGGGTCGTTAGCTTTTGTTGGCCTAAACAATTCTATTCAGATTCGAGTTTCAGATAAGAATTTCAAAGGTTTGTACTCTTTGTTGTATACTAGACGTTAATGAATGCTTAGGTAGATTGAGTGCTCCTTGGTCCAATGACAATCTAGGTATTCTTTTGCTATTCTCTCATTTTTTTTTCATTTAAATTGATTAATGAGAGTTTAAATTTGAATAATGACTCTTTTTTCTTTTTATATAGAACCGTTTTTTAGTTCCTTATATCTTTGTTTACATTTGGAATAGAAAGTAGCATCTTTCTTTCTCTCTCTCTCTCTCTTGGTATCACTACAGTAAACTTTCTCTAATGCGTAATGAAGAATAACCAATAAAAACAAGTTCACAACCTAAATAAATTCAGAATTATAAGATTTTCCCATATAACCCTGAATAAAAATAGAAATGACAGGGAAAAAAGAGAGACGAGGTGAAGACCTTGCTAATGAGAAAGATGAACTGATATAGATGGATGAATTTACCCAAATCCTCTCTATCTCGTTTTCCCTAAAAGTTTCCTACTTCAAAAAAAAACACGTACACTTTGCTTAAGCGACTTTTCTCTCGAAAAGCTATTAAATGACAATAAATAAACATTAAGTCTTATAGACAGACTGGCCACGTCTATGATACAAAGACGGAATTGCTAAGGGAGAGGGCGTAGGGTGGGAAAGAGGAAGGTTATGTATGAGTGCGTATGAGTGTATGTGAGAGAGGGAGACGTATATAGATGGAGAGAGGGAGGGAGCGAGAGTGTGAGAGAATGAGAATGAGAGAGAGAGAGAGAAGGTGAGACGAAAAGAGAAATATTGCAGGAAAGAAGCAGAAAAAAAGATTTGAAAGAGAGAGAAAGAGGCAGTTATACCCTAATATTGCAATATTTATTGACAGTAATTTATCTTCTATTTAATAAAACGTTTATTATTACTTAGTCATTGGTTGTGATAGATTATAGGCTGATACACTGCATATATACAGTATATATTTCGTAAATATTCTTTTGGCTCTAATTTGTTTTAAGATTCTTTTTATCATTTTTTTTGTTGGTCTAGTTTATTTTACTAATCTATTTCCCGGAAATATTTCGCTTAGCAGCTGAGTCAATGAAGTTGGAAGCTTCAGTGAAAATGATGTATAAAAGCAGGTGAGGCGTATATCGAAACGGCTATAGACCTCTTATTTTTAAGGGTTTATAATTGCTAGCTGTAGTATGATATAGTAAACTATTTACTAGGTTGAATAGGGAAGAAATGTGTAAAAATCTTATGAAAGGCGAAGGAAGAGAGACGAAAAGATTGTGGAAGAAGAGTGTACAATGAATAATTTAAAGTTGAATGATTAAAAAGTAGCAATAGAGAAGAGGCAAAAAATTACTTCAAGCGAATAAACGGACTTTTTGGCTTCTTTTCTAAGATAAACATAGTTAAATTGGCACACTGCTGTAAATTTGGTTTACAACTTACGTCCTGCTGCTTGTCAATCACCGTCACGTGACTAGTGTTAATAAGGGCGTTGAGTAAGGCTATTGGGAATAATTCTTTATTTCCATTAAAAAAAGAAGTAGCGCGTGACTAGTTTAGTGAATATATAATTAAACGTCCGTTTGTAAATAAACTGAAAAATAGAAAAAACCTAATCGGAAATAATAGAACGCACCTATTTATAATACAATAACAAGTCACGCAAGACAACCTGTAACTTTGTCTACTTGGGTTTTTTACTTGGCGTGTAAACGCAAATATTATTAAAATTGAAAACGAATGAGCAGTATTAACTACTTAACGTAAAGTCTAATTTTGTATGATTCATATACATAATTAGCGTCACTGTTAGACTGTAGTTTGTCACGTAAAAGGCAGTACGGAAAAGGATTATTATACCGGCAAACAATTGCCGGGTTTATTGCAATAAGCGCCCCGCTTGTTCCGACTTCGATTGCGCAACATCTTACAAACAATGCCTCTCGCAATAGATCGAATTTAGACGAGTTCAACAACCGACTGAAATGATTTTTCGAGAATTCGTGTACACAACTCTACTTAGTTTGTCTTGTTTATATATTAAACTAAGAGAAATACTACAACTACATGGCTATTTTAGCAATCGCCTTTTGAATGCAACTGGATTATATTGCAGTCGAACTGCAGTAATTGAAAGAAATTGCACTCAGACGAATCTGTCGTGAGCTATAAAATCAAAGAGAAAGTTTGAAGAAAGGCAGCTGCGAATTTTTTAACAGATGCGCATGATTTCGATAGGAAAGAGGATGACCCTAAGGGATTCAGCTTAGGTTGAATTTGTTTCCCTCATCAACAACCGATTGAGAATTGTCAGATCAAATAAAAATTTCAAATAATCTCTTTATCATAAGAGAAAAAAGTTGAAAGGCAAACAACTTTAAAGTAAGATAAAAAAGAACAACGATTAATCTATGAAATATAATTGGTTAATATTTCTTTAAGGCCTAAAACTGCAAAATAAATAGGGAAAAATGCAGTGAAGAGACGTTAAAAGGGCTAAATATTATTATCTTTTTTTATAGATTTAATGTTACCCTCTTCTCCTTTTCCCTACTTTCCTGCTAACCCTCTCCCCTCTTTCTTTCTTTCTATCTCTCGCTTATTAGCTCTTTTCCAGTCTTTTTTTTCAATATTCTTTCCTTTCCTTCTCTTTTCAAGTATTTTTTTCAACCTTTACTGTATATCTTTCCTTCTTTTCAGTCCTATATTTGTCAGGCAATCATTACCCCTCTCTCTCTCTCTCTCAGTCTCTCTCTTTCTCTTCCTTCACTTTCCCCCTCCCCTTCTCGCTTGCTCTCGTTCCATCCATCCATCCATCAATCTATCTTTTTCTTCTCTACATACTTGAGCAATCTTAATAGCTTGTATTTTCTTCCCTTTGATATTCATCCACCCGATATAGCCCAGGGAAAATCGTTGATACAATGAAAAATTAGCATCTTTCTATTCTAAAAGAGTTTGTAAGAAGTAGAGTAACTATATATGTATGCTTACGATAATTGATTGTAAAAGATGCACTATTGTATGAAAATGTTTGCTCAATCTACAGAATTCGAAATATATCAATAGATTTACGAAAGAAAGAAACAGTAGCCATAAAATAGAATTGATGATTTAATTTTCATCAGAGAAACTTACTTTTGATAAATAAAAAAGAGAGACAAGAGTCTCTCGAGTTTGAAAACTGCGAAATCTAGTACAGATACCCCGAGTAATTTGGTCTCTAGAGGTAGAGTCGACGTCGTGTGATAAACGCTTAAATTTTTTAACAAATAGACAGTCAATAGAAAATGTTAAGCACGTTTTCCCCCGTTTATTTCATATATATATATATATATATATTCTCTATTTCTGCGTCTCTTTTCACACTCATAAGCTCCTCTTATAACGCATTGGCTTTGGAAACAAACATTGGAAATTTATGATAAATGTATACTCTTGTAAAATGTATATCACTTCTGAGGGATACATGAAACGTGAGATTTAGAGGCAGCTGCAAAATCCGCAGTAAACTCGGAAATTTTGCCTTACTTGAGCGTCTCTTGAGGCAGTATGACGCCTATAGTGATAAATTTACGACATCCACGTTCGAAAAATTTTTAACAGATTGTACTTTTGACCATATCTAAGAGGCAGATGCGTCGAGTTTTTACAAATCATGGCACGGTCGAAGGATAAAATGACGCAGGCGTTCAATGCTTAAGCGTTGACAAACGCGTTATTCCGGTCAACAAGTTGGGCGTGTGAGCGACTAATCTAACTTTGCGGTTTGCAATCGATCAATTTATAGACGCCGACTGCAAAAAAGAGGCCCGACGACTGCCAAATGCAGTATCAATTGCAGTAGCTGTCACAGGAAGACGTACAGACGCTCTTATAAGTTTTTGTAGTCTATCAATGAATTTATGAGCCTTTCGTGTATAAAGTAAGCTAATTATTAACTGATAAATTGACGAACTGCGATAGATTGCTCAGAAAAAGGGATAAAAAATAGGACTTAAATAAATGATAGGCAACAGAGAGTCGGTTGTTTACAAAGGGTATTTAAAAGGAAATCTATCACCATTTATAATGCCGCTCAATTGGAACAGATTGAAAAAAAATTAAATATAAATGAATAGAATTCTGTCATTTGAAATATTACAAAAAAAACGCCACCTAGAATGAATGGGAAAAAAAGGAGCTTAAATCGAGAAGACCCTGGCCGGTCATTCGTCCTCACTTAATTTGTATAAACAAAATTCCAACGCGCTCACTTAAAATCTCAGAAGATGCACTTTGCAGTCTACTGCAAAACTATTGCACTAACGACTACCACGGCAGTAAGGGGAGAGCTACTACAAAAATGCAATTCATCAATGGCGTCGGCCTTTTGCCGCCCTTTTCGCCCTGCACGGTCGGGCCATTATCCCACTCACGTGCCGAGCATGACGTCATCCATCTTAAAAGGAACTGCATCTAAATGATGGCCCTTCGACAATGGCATGTTGGACAGACAAGTCTATACGTCAATGTTCACGTAATATGACATAACTGTTGGACATGTGGGAGAAGGACATGTAAATGCTCCAATGCAAATATAGAGCAAGCATTAGGTGAATATTAGAGATATTGCAGACAATATGTGCCCTAATAAGGAATATATACAAAACCTCAATGAATTGCAAAGTATATATGCGCCCATATACAGTATTCTCTCTCTCTCTCTCTCTCTCTCTCTATAAATTTATATATATATATATATATTCGTTACAAACAATACGTATTAGTATGCCCTATAACAATATATTAGTAGACAGTCAAAGGA